TTATTTTACCTATTGTCTCTTGTGTAAATCCCCAACTATAAAATGTTGCAACTGGCTTATACCCACTATTGTCCTTTGACTAATCTTCAACTTCAATTCTTCAGAGATTATAGTATTTCATGACTTGAAGTCATATGACATATCAGTAAAAAAAAAATACTGGGGCGACAGGATGGTCCTTTATTTCAGGAAGATGCTTGAGTCATTAAAACAACTGAAATTTCCCACAGGCAATCCAACCCATTCCTTCCTTCAGCTCAATTCTTCACCCAGCTCATTGCAATGTCTGTCTCAGATAGATGCACTGATTGACAGGTTCAATAAGTTGCCCATCTGACTGTGTAATATAGTCTGAACAATAGGCACATGTCCTCATCCACTTGTCCTCCCAGTTCTTCTCTCCCCAACTTGTAAAGAGTTCTCTGCCTTTGGACCCTGGGTTCAAATCCTCACTCTGTCATTTATTTGTGTAACTACCTCTGACAAATCACTTAACAAAACATTGTTAAATGGAGTCAAGGAGTAACATGGTGCAGTGGATAGAGCGCCAGCCTTGGAGTCAGGAAGACCTAAGTTCAAATCTGGCCTCAGATACTTGACACTTACTAGCCGTGTGACCCTGGGCAAGTCACTTAATCCTGACTGCCTCACCAAAAAGCAAAATAAAATAAAAATAAAAATAAAAATCTCTGGACCTTAGTTTCCTCTGAAGTACTTTCCAGAAGTAAATCCTTATGATTTTGTATGGATAGTTAGGCCTAACTTGAGCAATTATGAATCTTATTTAGACCAATAAATTTTTAATGATAATTATAACTTCCTATTTATATAGTGTTTTCCTTCAGCAGTGAGGAAAGTAATATGCACTTTCATCTAGAAGGTTTGTTGGGAAGAGATGGTAGTTGAAACCTGTGAGAGTAATCAGAATTACTAATACCTTTTCCTATCAGGTAGAAAGTGATAGACAAAATGTAATAATACCTTGTTGTTCAGTTGTTTTTTAGTTCTGTCTGACTCTCTGTGACCCTGCTTTTTTCTTGGTGAATATATTAGAGTGATTTTCCATTTCTTTCTGCATCTCATTTTGCAGATGAGGAAACTGTGGCAAAAGAGTTAATTAAATGGCTTGCCCAGGGTCACTTAGCTAGTAATTGTCAAAGGTCGGATTTGAACTCAGGAAAGTATCTTTCTGACTCCACTCTTGGCATTTTATCCACTGAGCCACCTAGCTACCCCCAATAAAACCTTAGATTCTGGAAAAGTTGGGGCCACCCAGGCCCCCATTGGGTCAATGCCTTCACATTCCCTAGAATTAATCAGAGGCCTTGGTCAACTCAAAGCTAAGAAGTCCCTGCTGGGCCTTCACCCACAGGGACCAACTGATAGGAAAGATAGTTCTGGTCAGAGGCCTTTCTGGTGCTCTTCAAATAATACCAGCCCTGGGAGACCAAAGGTAAAGGCTTGTGAAGTAACAACCTAGTGATAAGCAGTGAATACAAGGCACACAGAGACTACCAAAACTCAAATTAAGGATAACTACATAGGTAAAAGCCAGGATTCAAAAATGCCAGAGCCAAAGATAGACAAGGAACAGCCCCTGACACCAGCAGATGATTAGTTAGATTGTGCTTATTAATTATTTCCTGACTCTTCCAAACCCTTCTCTCAAACATTCTCAAATTGGTCATTTACCAAAAAAAAAAAAAAAAGGGAGTGATGAAAAATTTAATTGGGCAGTTAAGGCAGATACTACTAGGTTCTAAGATTCTATGATTTCATAAGCCCAAATATTTGGACCTTGGCATTTGCATCTTAGCTCTGACATTTGCTACCTGGGTGATTTCTTGCCAAGTCCCTTCATTTCTCTGGGCCTCAGTTTCTTTACTTGTAAAAAGAAAGGTTTAGACTAGATACAGCTGGGTAGCACAGTGGATAGCATGCCGGGCCTAGAATGAGGAAGACTCAGCTTTCTGAGTTCAAAACTGGTCTCAGATACTTTCTAGCTATGTAATCCTGGGCAAATCACTTAACTCTGTTTGCCTCAGCTTCTCATCCATAAAATGAGCTGGAGAAGAAATGGCAAACCAGTCTAGTATCTCTGCCAAGAAAACCCTAAATAAGGTTATGAAGTCAGACACAACTGGAAAATGACTAAACAGCAAAGACTCGGTGATCTCTAAGGTCTCCAATATTCTGTGAACTCAATCTAAGAGAGACAAAAGCAATGTGCCCATTTATATACTTTCTTCCTTAAACATGTACACACACACATTCATACACTCACACATATCCACAAAGAAATAAAAACAACACACATCACTCCATGTTTGATAATCCTGTCCAGAAGCATCTGTGAGCAGAGCATGAGAGGGCCATGAGGCAGCTGTCCTCAATACAGTTTGCAGGCAAGCAAGGACTTTCTTTGATATTGGAACAAAAAGACAGATGTGTCAAATCCCCAGGACAGGAGTCTCATTTAGTTTTTTAAAAGAACACAGATTAACATAGTAGGAAATTCTGGTCAGTGACAAGCAGTTCACGTGTGGTTCCTCTGCAGTGGATTCTTTCAAAGATCAAGGTGAGTTACTAAGGAGATGTTGGCCTCCACTCAATGTCTATAGTTCCTAGCACTATGAGATCACTAATGAATCTTGCAGATATGCAGAGCAGTCATTCTTATGCTGTAAATTCAAAGCCTTTGAATTACTGACTCCTCAAACAGGAATTGAAAAGTTGTAAAAACGTAAACATTTGGGAGTGTTATAGAGAATTTGCTAGAATCCATTCTATTTTTTCTCTAAGGACCTTTGGACTTGATAGAAGAAGAAAGAAAGAAATACAGCAAGTCATTTGTGTGGACTGGAATTCATAAAAGGGGTGATCATAACTTAAGAAGTTAGTGTACATGTGTATGTATGTAGATATACATGTGTTCCTATATATACATATGTGTTCATATGTGTATATATATATATTCATAGTCTACAGGAAAACCTAGATTATATGTATAGTTCTAGAGTGACAGAAAGAGTCAGCGCTAACAGTGTGACTAATCAATAGAGATATAGCCTTGAAGCCAGAAATACCCAGCTTCACATCCTACCTGACAAGTCATTTAATTTCCCAATGCCCCAGGCCAGTCTCTAAAATTTTAAGTGGCAAAATAGCTATGAGTCTACATTAGTAAAGAGAGTTTGCCCAGGTGGGAGTTTCTGAAATCAATGAAACCACAGGTCCAGATTAATATATGTACACACTATATCTATATATGTATATACACATATGTATACATATATGTGTATACACATATACACATGATGCACATATGCACATATTATATGTGCATGCATGTATACATATACACACATGATACATATATACACAAAGTATATACACATGCATATATACACATATATACACAGAGTGAAGTGGAATAGTAGAAAGGACATTGGAATAGAAGTTAGAATTCAATTAATCAATCAACTCATTAATCAACAAGATCCCTGCTGTGTTCCAGACACCTGATAGACCCTCAAAAAACAAAGATAAAAAAACAAACAAAAAACATTCCCCACCTCCCCCAAGGACCTTACAGCCTATCAAGAGAGACGGTATGGACATATATAAATATACACAAAATATTCGTAAATAAAAGGTAATTGGAGAGAATCGGGAGCACCAACAACTAAGGAGGAGGATCGGGAAAAGTCTCACGTGGAAAATAACCTTTGAGCTGAGCTTTGAAGGAAACTAGAGATTGTAAGACGCCTGTAGGTAAAGGATGAATTCATTTTATCTCCTGATCATCTGCTCACATTGTGGGCCATTCATTTCAAAATAATAGAGGACCTATTTCACTGACTTCGATTCCCAGCACAGCCACTGGTCTGTCTCTGATCATGAGATCATTGACTATTAGAGCTGGAAGGAAGCTTTGAGACTAGGTAGCCCAACTGCCTCATTTTACAGAAGAGCAAACCAAGGCCCAAAGAGTACCTTACTTGTCATCACACATCCAGTCAACTGGAAAGATACAGAACTAGAAACCAGGTTTAAATAACTTGGTCAAGGTTACACAGATAGTAGTAGAGATGGGAAAAACTAGAGCCAAAGTCTTCTATCTCCTAATCCAGAATCTTTCCCATGATCAGACTAGTTTCAGTTTACCTCCTGCCATTGCTTAACGCAGCAAGCTGATCTTCTCCTGACACCGTAATTATCAGCTCTCTCAAGACAACCCTATCACTAGTATGATAACATATTTTCTTCTTATAAATCTTTAAGAATCTTTATAGCAGTCCCTTTTTATGATGCCCTAGTTAGATCCTCTGCCTCCCTCTCTCTCTTTCTGTATATGAGTGAGTATGCGTGTGTATCTCTCTCTTTCTCTCTCTCTCTCTCTCTCACACACACACACACACACACACACTTCTTTCTCTGTATCAATCTCTTTCTGTGTTTTTGCTTCTCAAAAGGACATGCTTTTCCTAGAGCTCTTCTGTTTGTCTTAGGGACATCACTCAAATCTGAATAAAAAAAACCCAAAATAACAAGGAAGGATTATCTTGGCAAAAGAAGCTTCAAATAGAGGGCACTCTGCCTGTTTAAGTGAACCAGTTATACAGAAGAGGAATGAAGATAAACACATACAAATATTGGCACCTGGAACTGTAGGGTATATTTATAAAGTACAGTCCTACTAGAGACAAAACTCAGAGGACAGTCAGTGGTGCTCCAAAGATCTAGAAGTCCTAGAAAGTGGCATATTTAACCAAGTGTTTCTTTCTTTCTTTCTTTCTTTCTTTCTTCTTCTTTCTTTCTTCTTCTTTCTTCTTTCTTTCTTTCTTTCTTTCTTTCTTCTTTCTTCCTTTCTTCCTTTCTTCCTTTCTTTCTTTCTTTCTTTCTTTCTTTCTTTCTTTCTTTCTTTCTTTCTTTCTTTCTTTCTTTCTTTCTTTTTGGCTAGGCAATAGGGTTAAGTGACTTACCCACCTAGTAAGTGTTATGTGTCTGAGACCGGATTTGAACTCAGGTCCTCCTGAATCCAGGGCTTATGTTCTATCCACTGCACCACTCCGCTGCTCCAAACCAGGTGTTTCTTGAGGCCTATTATGTGTCTACCACCATTTGTTCCTGTGGGGGATATAAAGAAGCAAAAAACATAGTTTCAGCCCTTGCAAAGTTCCCAATCAAATTGGGGAGACAAGATGAACTCATGAACTTGAGAATTATACAATAAAGGAGGCAAAGAACACTGGATCAGGAGACCCGGATCATACAATTCCAGATTTAGAACTGCAAGAGACCTTCAAGATTGATACTTTTAAGGGCCTCATTTTACAGATGAGAAAACAGACACCCAGAGCCTAATGACTCACCCAAGGCCCTGTGGATCAGGAGTGGCAGTCAGGATTAGAAGTTAGGTCTTCTGATTCCAAAGTTAAGCTTTCCACTTCACCATTACTGTCTCAGCCACAAACTCGCAATATGACCTTGGGCAAATCGGCCCCAGTTATCTCAACTGTTAATAATAATTTAAAAATAAAAAAGGAGTTGAACTTGATGATCTCAAGGCAAATCTGTTTCACCTCTAATATCTTGTATATCCTCATTGTCCCAAACCTGGGTCCATGCCATTCTCTCTTTTTGGAATAATATTCTCCTATCTCATTTCTTTCTATCCGTAAACATTACCTTGTTCAAGACTTCAACTCTAGGTTTACCTTTATCAAGAATCCTTCCTTGCCTAAATTCATCCCACAATAATCATTTTGTATTGGGTTTTGTAGCCCACTTTTACCTTTAATTACCACTGGCCTGATAAGGCAAGACCTCTAGATTTAATTCCATTCAATTCAATATCAATGCTTTAATGACCCATGTTGTATACAGCCATATATTTGATATTATACCTAACAAAGATGAGTAATTTATCTGTTGCCCTCAAGAACTTTATAATATGCTGATCAGCAAGATTTTAAATATATGTATATATGTAATATACAGATACATATATGCATACATACATATTTGCCTATAACGAGTTCATAAGATCACAGATTTAGGACTGGCAGGGGCCTTAGAATCTCTTGTCCAACCCTATCATTTTACAGGTGAGGAAACTGAAGTAACTGAAGGGGCAAGGTGACTTACCCAGAGTCACACACAAACCCAGGTCTTTAGACTATAAATCTAACATTCTTTCCATTTTATCAAAGATCTGTGATTTGTTAGATTAAATTATCTCAAAGTCTATTTCCATTCAGGGCCATAGACTCTAAGTTTGCCATTTGAGAACCTAATTGACAAGGTTCAGAGCAGAGAATTATCACCAAAGTATTGCATTGTTTGGCCCAGTAACTGACTGTTATATTAACTCATGGAGGGGTTTTATCTGCATTGGTGGAAGGGGTTACTTACATGATTCAACTGATATAGCTGCTCCATCCACGTCTTCACAAATTGCCTCTGCAAGCTGCATCAACTGCGGAATTTGTCACCCTCTGGCCATCTTTTTGGCAATGAGACACCACTCTGAACTTCACTAGTTAAGTTTTCAGTTGGCAAATTTATGGTCCATCACTGCACCTTAATTCTTATTAGCCTTTCTAGTTTGGTGTGGCCTGCTGGACCAGCCGGCACTCCACTGGCAAGTCTTCAAGAGCCCAGTTTGACCCCCAGACCATACTAAGGCATCAGAGAAGGACTTTAGAAGAGGAATGAGCCACTCTAGAAATTCACACAGCGTGACCCTGAGCAAGTCACTTCTCTCTAGGGTTTAGCTTTCTCAGCTAGATGAATTTATAGCACACATAAAATGAGGGAGTTCACTGAAATCCCTTCCAGCTCTAAGACATTTGCAATTCTACCTTTCTTATTTTTTGTTCTATTTTGCTTTACCTTGCTTGAATTCCCCTGAGGGCAAAGATTGAATTCACTACATTTTATTGCAGTCTTTTTCTCTAGGCCCTCCCACTCCACTCCCCAGTCAAATATTGAATACACTATAAGTGGTTAATAAATGCTGGTTGAATAAATCAAGGAATGACTGTTCCCTATACAATAGATCAGGGCCCATTTTTCCTGCTGCCATAGGAAGGCATGTAGCTGGCCTCACCACCCCAGACTGCAGCTAGCAAGCTTTCTAGCAGCAGTGAGTTATAAACTCAAATGGGGTGGAGAACAGAGGCCCGGAGCTCAGCTCAGAAGGCCAGGATGAGCTCCAAATCGCCTAAAGCACACTTACTGTATTGGGAAGGGGTAAAACAGGTGGAGACATTATCAAAATGGGAGAAACCAGAGTGCACAGTGTTGGTCTAATCCCTCCCCCACCTACAATGCATACGAATACACATATGTACATTCTTTCCCGGAACAGCATGGAGCCTGCCAACACCCCCTCCCCCACTTCTCCCCTGCAGGAGAAGCCTGCTTTCTACAGTCTAGGGAAAATGAAAGCATCTCCATTTCTAAAGCTCCCAGCCCTCCCTACCTTTGTGATTCCCCTTTAAGGAGCTGGCTGGCTTTTTGCATACACACGGGGCTTTCCCAGGCCTGCTCTCAGCTTTCTGTTGCACTGGCTGTCATCTGGTCAAAGAAACTGCTGGGCATGGGCAAGGTGCCAACTTGGCCCCAACTCTGCTCTGTGGCTGGACTGACAGATAAATTGGCCCTGGAGGGGAAGAAGGAGGGTGCGGGAAAGGGGGAGGGAGCAGAAACCAGAGGGGAAGCACAGAGGAAAGAATTTCAAAATCATTTTTTTTCCTGCTAAACCTAACTCGGATTTTCTAAGGTTCATAGCTGAAGCTCTGCAGGATGCCAAAGCACTAACCAGGAGAGCAGGCAGATGGTGCAGAGAGGGTATGAGTAGACAAAAGGTTGAATCATTTAAGTTGAGGAAGGTGGTGTGGAAAGGAGGAGAAGGGAGGGAGGCTGAATGAAGGGTAGGAAGAAAAGGCGCTGTCCACAGCATCTTGGAGGAACAAAAAGGGACAACCGTCCTCCAGTCCAGAGTACCCAGCCAGGTCCAAGTAAGCCTCAGATCCAAGAAGGCAAAAATGTTCACATCTGGCCCTTCTGGAGTTGGGGAGACATACCCAGCAATACCATCCAAGGGTGGACCTGACCTGGCATGTATACAGAAAAGAAAATTGAATGTGAAGTCAGTTGGCCTCAGTTTCAGTCTCAGCACTGCCACTCATATGCCTAGGCTATTTTAGATAGATCACTTAGGGTCACATGGTCATGGGATCACGGATTTAGAGGTGGAAGGAATCTTAGAGACCATCCAGTCTAACACTCTCATTTTACTGTGAAGATAACTGAGCCCTAGAGACAGCGATTTGTCCAAGATCACATAACTGGTAAACATCAGAACAGGGATTTGAAGACAGGTCCTCTGATTCCAACTCCAGCATGTTTTCCCCTGTAGTTCATCTATTAAACTAAAAAAAAAAAAGTTTGGGGAAGAGTTGGATTCGATCATTTTTATCTTGCTCTCTAGCTATAATATCTTGCAATCAAATGAGATGACATATATGTAGCCCTTTGAAAACCTTAAAGTGCTGTATGAATCTTAGCTATGATTTATTTTTATTATTATTCCATTACTAGAGGTTCTATATAGTAGATCATAGGCTCAGGGTTCAACATCTCTTGACTTCATTCTAAAACGGATGACAATATGTGTGGTAGATAAATTGATAGATGGATGAATAAAAAGATGAATGATGGATAGATAGATAGATAGATGCACATACACATTTATATGCATATACGTGTATGAATGTATATCTATGTATACATATGCATACATATTCATACACATAAATGTTCATGAGAAAAGAAGGGAAGGGAAAATCACACCTGCTATTGCAAAAGTGTTTTATCAGGTGCTGTGGAGATATCTATATCTACATGCAGTCAATCCTCAACTTTCATGGGGTAATGGTCCTAGAAAACGGCATAAAAGTCAAAAGCTCAAATGCTGATACGTTGAACCTATGAGAAAGAGGGAGTTAGGTTCCCAAGAACACCAAAAACTGTAATCTTTTGCTAGAGATGAGTAAAAACACACTTTTCTACGTGTATTTTTTCCTAACAAAATATTAATTCTGATAATATGCATTTTCTGGATCAAAATTACAAACACTTATGAATACTTTTCTCTTTTTTTGCCAGTATAAGGAATGGTGGATTCATTAACACTAAATGTAAAGTCAACAATGGCTGCAGACATTGCAGCATGAAGTTTATCCAGCACTTTTCTCACTAAGCCACATCAATGACTTTGCATGCATGGGGTTAGAGCCCAAAGGACTTATGCTACACTTGGGGGCATAATCGTAACACAAAATTTGAGTTTTAAAAGCAAACAATGAAAACACACAGCAAATGCACAGGCAGCTCTTTACGATGGTAGGGTGAACAAGACTGGTGAAAGGCCTAATAGGATGGATACCAGCCACTCCACCAATATGTACATCACATCTCTCATTTTTTTCTTTACTGTGCATAGCCTGAAAGCGCACCATTGCCAATGCGAAAGTGAAAATGAGGTTACTAATAAAATCATCCGAATGCTTGGTCTAGAAAGTTAAATACCTCAATGTTGAAGATTGACTGTATGTATATATGTATGCATGTGTGTATAGATATATGTATGCATGGCCCCAATCTCCTTCCTGAGCTTCAGTCTTCTATTACCAATTGCTTATTGGACATTTCAAATTTCATGTCCTGGAGACATCTTCATTTCAATATGTCCAAACTGAAACTCATTACTTTGTTCTTTAAATCTTTTCCTCTTCCAAACTTTTTATTTTTATAAAAAGTAGCGCTATCCTCCCAGTCTCTCAGGTTTGTAAACCTTGCCATATTTTTCCTTTTCCACTCTCCCTTGCATCACATACTCAGTAAGTTGCCAGATTTTGTTGTTTCTAGCTTGATAACGTCTCTTACATCTGACCTCTTCTCTCTACTCACAGAGCTACTACCTCAGTTTGAGCCCTCATCACCTCTTGCTTAGATTATTGTATAAGAGCCTCCTAATTAGTCTTCCTGCATCACCTCTCCCCTCTCCAGTCCCTCCCACACACTGCTGCCAAAGGAATTTTTTTTAAAGAGCATATCTGACCATGTGACTCACCTACTGAATTAACGCCAGTGTCTCCCTATTTGCCTTTAGATTAAAATATCAGCTTGTCTAGTAAGCTTTTTAAACTGGCTCCAGCCTATCTTTCCAGCCTCACTGGACATTACTTCCACTCTTGCACTCAGCAATCCACTCAAACTGGCTTTCTCTCTGTTCCTCCCGCATGACTCTCCAACTTCAGTCCATTTCATGGACCAACCTTAATGCCAGTACTATATTCCCTTCTTAATTTTCCCTCAGAATCCCTCTCTTCTATTAAGATTCAGATCAAGCATGATCTTCTTCATGAGTTTTTTCTGATCCCCCAACTTTCAGAGGTCTCCCTCCCAACCTACCTTATATTTAACTATTTTGAATATATTTATATTTATTTATTTTATAGTTACACTGCACATACTTGCATGTGTACTCATTGTCTTCCCCATTAGAATTCAAGCTCCTTGAGAACAGGGATTATTTCAGTTTGTACTTGGGTCTCTAGTGCCTAGCACACAGTTGGTACTAACTATGTATTTGTTGATTGATTGATTGATTGATTGATAATGCTATGTAGCAACAGTTTGAGATGGCATAGTTCACTCATAAGACTGATATTTGTTCTGCTGCCCCTGCCTCCTCAACCCCCGCCCCAGCACCAGTGCCTGAAGGGGGTTCAACTGTCTTTGCACAACATACCAACTTTTGTGTCAGTGATTTATTTGTATTTATCTGTTGTGAATGTCACTGTGAAGAAAGGTCAGAGAGAAGTATGATTTTGTTTCCTTCTTCCTTGATGTTGTACATTAATAAAAGGCACAGGAAATGCCTCAAAGATACTTTTTTTTCAGGCAAGAGTCAAGATATCTGGCTTTCAGAAGTGGCAGTTGCTATGATCTTTCATGGTCTAAGCTTCTCAGGCCACTTGCCCTCTTTCATGGTCTAAGCTACTCTGACCAGTTACCTGCTTCCCTCCTACTGTCCACAGATAGACAAAGACCATCGAGTTTCCCTTTCTCAGATTCTGTGTTCTGCCAAGAACACATAGACAGCATGTAGTTATATGTATAGATTTAAATGTGTAACTACAAAGGGGGCTACATCCTATCAAACAGCTAGACAATAGGGATTAGTATGCCTACATGCAGTTGAAGACCCCATTCACACAATCTTTCAAGAATTTCAATTGTGGTTCACAGGGTGAAATTTGATATCAACCTATACCATCAAAGAAAGGATAAGTAGCCAGAAGAGATCATAAGTATCAGAGAAATCCTGCCACTGATTTTTATGGTAAAGAGAAGCCTCAGATAATTAAAAATTCATTAAAACTGTTACCATAGTTACTCTTCTTCTTCCATTCCATACTACTCCTTCAGTTCTCTAATATGTTGAATAATTTTCCCCACCTCTTGCATAGGGTATATTTTTTTTTATGAGTGCAACTGGCTATGTTTACCATCTGTCAAATACTCAAGGGTCCATGTTGGGGGGCATGTCAGCTATACATCACTGACAAGACCCTTTTGAGGAAGAAGTGATTTCCTTCTGTCACTGATGGGAAGCAAGATCTCCAGTGGAATATTCCTGATAAGGACATTTTTGGTACAGAACGTATCATGTGGGAAAGAATGGAATCAGGCCTTGGAACATGATGATGAGGGGTGAAGAGAAAGGAGGAGTATGAGCAAACTGAATTGGAAGGAGATGAGAGATGCCTCCTAGCCTAGCCTTTCCATTTACTTGTCCATATATACAGAGAATGTATGTGTCTGATTATCATTAACATTTCAAACCATAATGCAGTCTGGTTGAATGGATTAAAATGCAGGAGATAAATATTGATCATAGGACTATAGAATGTTAGAGCTGAAAGTACCTTGGAGATTGTCTAGTCTCATCCC